CCCAGAGCAGAGCCTGTGACTAAGTGCTGGTGTCAGTTAGCAACTGTGCGGCAGGGCAGAGTGAAGGCTCTGGGGGATGGCTCGTCATTAATGAGAAGCTGAGGTGTCCCTCCGGCATGCAACTGTGTGCCACACAATTTAACGCTGACCTACCACTGTGGCCACCTAACATAGATCCAGCAGATAGTGGGGGAAGGGGGCAGTTGCAGAAAGATGCTCCTGAGGCAACAGCACAGGACTCAGCAGAAGGAGCCCTAAGTCCCCTTCCTGGCTGTTCGGACTTGCTGTGCGAGGGAGGACAAACAGCGCTCTGTGCGGGACCCTGCTCCCCCCTGCTTGTTTCGTGGACTGGGGCAGTGCGGACAATGCCAGATTCATGCTGCTGCAGCCCTGTTCCTTGCTTTGCTGCCGAAACAGCCAGAGAAAGTCCCTGGGCCTGTGATACAGACAGGACAGCCTTGACGATGGCAGCAGGATCCTCCCAGTATGCCCAGTTCTCTTTCTTTGAAAACTTTTTTTTTCCTCCTTAGAAGGACGTCCACACATACTGAGCGAACGTCGGGCTGCTAGTGCTGTGAGGCTGGCACCCGGGACGCTGCCAGACACTGTCTCATTGTTTCCTTGCAGTCCCGTGTCTGTCTGCATGCATCTGCGCCTCATGTCCTTGACCCCAGGCAGTGGGGAGAGGCGGCGAACAGAGGGCGGAGTGGAAGCTCTCTATAAAGCAGGCGTCTGCAGAGAAGACACAAGAAAGAGCTAGAGAAGTTGGTCTCCATTCTGCCTGCCACTGGGGCTCTGCGCACTAGCGTGAGACCCCCCAGGTCTTCTACAGACAAGGAACAAATGGATTTCTCTTGTCTGTATTTTTACTCATCTGAATATTCACAGATACCAGAGGATGCACTTGAAGGTACACACAACTTTAGGCAGGGTCTTTTCTTCAGCAGCAATTTCAGGTAGAACGTCAGTGACACCTAATCCAAAGCCAGAGGGCAGCAGGCAGGATAACGCATTTACTCTTTCCTGTTTGCTACGCCCGCTGAGACTGAGTCATGACATAAACAGCAGCCTGGTGTGCCAGTAAAAGCTGTCATGGCGAAATTTAATGTGATAGTGACCATGTAAGCCGCGAATACAGTGTATGCAATTTACTGTAAGTTACTTCAGAGCACAGCACAGCCAATCCTGCCAGGGCAACAAGCAGAGGCTCCCGGCTTACTCCACGTCTTCTCGGCAACATCAGTCTTCTTCAAGCAATGACAGTCTCATGGCTGTGCTGCTCCCGCTTTCCAGTAGACAGAAGTGTTCCCAGGACCAGACTGCCATACCTGCACTAAGTGATTTGACGGACAAGCTCTGGAGAATTGTACAGCTGCAGTTTAAGACGTTTATCAACACTAGCTCTCTGCTGAGCTTTTCTGCTAGATGTCGCTGATCTGTAGCAGAGGTGGATGACAGAAATCTGTGCCTGGTCTTCAGCTGTTTCAGTGCAAAGCCTAGCGTTGTCTTCAGTTGCCCCTGGGGTTGCGCTAAATTGCAGCGTAAACTGCTTGTGGACTGCGGGCTTAGGTGTGGGAACGTGTGCTCCTCTGCTGACTTTTGGTACTGAGAGGTCACTTCCAGCAGAGCACAGCAGTCAGTATCATCTCAAACCATCCAGACAAGGTGCACTGAAGTCTATCTACCAGACATGAGGTCATCTCCTGCCTTCTTCTGCATGAACGTGGGTTCTAGTCAGGTTAGATCATGGAGGGAGAAGTGGAAGCAACAGGATTGCCAATTAGGAAATTTTTGCATTTTTTTCTGCAGCTGAACCAAGAGCTACCTCACCACTGGGAATAATGAAGCATCTCAGCCAACCTCAGCCTGGGCAGCCCCCAGGAGCAGATTCAGCACACAGGGCAAACGTGCTTCACTACAGCCTACTGGAGGTTCCAGATTGGGCCCCCAGCAAAGCGAGCCACGGGTACCGCCAACGTCGACTGAGGGAGACGTGTGCAGTGGAAGTTTCCCCCGCTGAATGCAGGCGCTGAGTTTGTGCCTGGAAGTGCTAGCAATGGAGTTGTGGGAAGCTGGAGTACTTACTTGTTCATAGACTCTTTTCCTTACTACTGCCCTCTTTCTTCCCATTCTTCTTCCCCGTAGCTGAAGGCTTTCAGACCTACTGAATACCAAACTTGTGCCAATCTCTGTAGTCTCTAGGCAATTTACACTAGGCATCGTTTACACTGCTCTTCGCATCGTGAGTACATTTGAAAGTCTCCAAGCCAAGGTTGCTGCCCTCTCTTACAAGGTCTCTGCTCAGCTCTCTGTATCCAACAGTTTTCATTTAATTGCTGCGGGTGGGACGAAGCATTTGAAATTTCTAAACAGAATGGGTCTTTTGCACACTTCCAAATTCCTTTACTGGAGATTTGGAGCTCAGGGACAGCGCTTTGTTTCAGTTGCACACAAGGAAGCTAACCACTGCAAGCATGTGACATGCTTGTACTGTCACGGCTTAACAAAAATTTCACCATTGTGACTAGGGCAAGCAGAACCTGGGGTATTTCCATCAAAGGTCAGCTTTTAGCAAGGCAACTTATTTATTCAGGTGCAACTCTAACGGCAGAGGGGTTTTAACTGTCTGATATGTTGAAAGCAGAGCTATGCAGAGCTCACAGATCCTTCAGACACTGGGGGTGGTCTGAATAGTTTCTGTTTTACTATTTGCTCTTTGCAAGTGTCCTCTGCTCTTTGAAAATATCCCATCAAAGATTTCAAACCTGGTTTTCCCCAGAGCCAAACCTGGGTCCTTTTTTTCAACGGGAAAACTCCCATTTGTACACTGAAATAGAAATAGCCTTTCCTAGCTTGCTCGTACGCCCCACAGACTCTCTTGCTTTCTTCGTTCACTAGCAGGAGAGGGGGCAAAGAAAACTCAGCAAGATCTGGAAGAGCCTGGCAAGCCAGTCCACAGGGTGATTTTAAGCTGCAGCACACACTGTGGATGGCTGCAAGTCTCCCAAATGGAAAACGTTCAGCTGATATATATCGCCACAGCTGCAATTTCAAAACAGAAGAAGGACAGTTGTGTACATTGGCCTCCTAATTGAAGCCTGTTATAACATCTGCAAAAGTATCTTGTGTGTCAACACCCTTACCAGCTTCCAGCCAGGGTGGGAGGGGAGCTACAAACAGGGAACTTTTCATTTATAAAAGCCCTTCCTTTCACCAAAAATGCCGTATAAAAAGTGGCCTCTATCTAGGTCTCCATTTAAATAGTGGCATGACAAACAGGGGAGCTGTAAACTTGCCAGCATGCCGCAAGCATGAAGTTAACCTTTTGGGGCGGATTTTAGGAATATCTTTCTCCTAGCAAGATATGAAAGGTTTAGGAATGGGTCTCACACCCTTTATTGATTCATGCATCAGTGCAGAAACATATGCAGCTATTACACTGCCGCTCTAAGTAACATATTTGCAAATAATAATAATTCATACTGTGTCACCCGTCCCTGAGCACACAGGCTTTGGCTGGCCTCCCTGGGAAAAGGTGTGAACACAGATGGCACACAGTAGCCAGAAAGCTTCAGCAGAGACAATTGCAGTGGCTTCATCGCCCTCTAGGAAGCCCACCAAGCCCAGCAGAGTTGGGCAAAACTTTTGATCTAGGATTGACATATCTGTGATTAACCAAATTGTGAAACAAATGTTAAACCTCCACTGAACTGGAGAGACTCGCTGCTCTTGTGATGTAGTGCTAGGCAGGAGCTCACCAGCACAGGGCTGAAATCTCCCGTCTACTGCAGACTGCGTGTGTGGTGCCTAATTTCACTTCTTTCCCTCATACAGACTGGGTCCATTTGCAAAACAAACATCATTTACCGTCTCTCTCCACCCCTTGCCCTACTCCACGTGCTTGTTTTGGGGCAGGACAGTCCTTGTTTTATTTTGAATGAAGTTTAGCACATGATGCTCTGAACTCAGCTGGGGTCTTGACGCACTATTACATGAATAAACACTAAGTGACTGGAATGAAAGAATAAGCAACAATGACAACAATGACTAAACAATCTCCATTTATGTAAACAAAATGGAGCTAAGGGAATGCATGCAAGTTGACATTTTTGGCTGTTCATATTCTTATGGAAATTCATATATTTTGTCCTTCACAGCCTATTAGATCCGCATGGGGAGATGGAATAAGATGTCTTAGGCCAATAAAATCACATGGAAATTAGAATGTAAATCAAAGTGAGATACCTCAGACCCACAACAGAAACATCCTAGCCTATAAAGATGCTGAAATGAATAACCTGTATGTAGGAATCAAGGAGACCTTCCAAACTGTGTGATGATGAAGAGCTTACGTGGGAAGTAAGGCGAGTGTTTCCTTGCATACAGAGTCAGTGCTCAGGTGGATGTATAATTTTTTTTGCAACACCAGCATGGTAATTAGGTATTGCATATAACTAGATACTGCCCAGAAACCTAAGATTGTAGATTTTGGTGAATTCTGCAAAATACATCTGTTTGGGTGCAAGCAACTTTGCACTGGAGTTTCTCAGATCAATGGTTCCAACTCCAGGAATTGTCTCAGTACACGGATTAGGATCACTGATTTCACTGGAATTTAGGCAAAGCTGCTGCAGGCACGCTGGCTGGGACAGGGAGACTTCCTTGCCCCCAGCCCCCAGGGGAACAACAGAGCATGGTCATTCTCTGCTGCTCAGGGAGTATCGGAAGGAAGAGAACGACAAGGCAGGAAAAATATCGAGAGGAAAAATTTTCCCTAAGAAGCTGAATAAGAGGAAGACCCTTTCCCTGCCACAAGAAGACAGACAGTAGCGCCTTCCTTACGCATCACAGACCACTGACATTGTAGATCATTTCTTCCCGGCTGCCATACAACTAAATCTCAGAGCCTTTCACTCCCAGAGCACCTGCTCTGGGCACAGCTGCCTGAGGGCATGTTTTGGAGTTGACAGACTTTAGGGTGAAGAGAAAGGCAATCCTACCTTCTTACCCGGGGAGCGGATTAAAATGAAACGGTTTTTCTTTTTTAGTAGTGCACGCAGCTCCTGGCATTTGTCATAACTCTCCAGTTCCACTGTTTCTATGCATTTTTGTTCATCCTGTGGAGAGGGAATGAAACATTATTATGAACAAGAGGCATTGAAATCAATCGTATACCATCAAACACTGCATATCTTCCTATGGCACGTGTCTGAAAACTCTTTTGCCTTAAAAATAATATGCATGCAGATAGCAACCCCCCATAAATCAGGCTGGTACCTCACTGCAAAAACTCGCTAGGCTAGGCTACAGGCCGTTTTGTGGCTCGTGGTCTGTAGTGGCTGAGCAAATAACATACTGTGGACAATAACACTAGCCTCTGTCTGCTCTCTTGGCCTCATCCAGGGATCTGCAGCTGGGAACAAGGTGAGGAAGATCTTTGCCCATCATCCTGCACTAACACATTTAACTTTTGTAAAGCTTCCTGGCAGGATCTCAAAGCGCTCCCCAAGCTTTCACTTAGCTTGGTCACACTACCCTCTCCCCACAATGCATGAAGGTGTTATTCTGCCTTTTCATAGGGAAGACGGGGCAGGCAAAATGATGGCCCAAGCCTGTGGCAGAGCAGAGATGAGAGCTGAGCCCTGCTGACACGCTGAGCTGAGGCCAGTTGGCCCTTGGGTGAGTAAGGGCGGTGGGAGCCGTGCGCTACCGGAACGCACTTCTCTTGTAGCTGTGCTCTGAGCTGTCAAAATGCTTAGGATTGAAAATATGGTCCCACAAAGCCAGCAAAACCTGTCAGGGACAGTGTCTCACCGGGGAATATTTCTCTCTGGTGTATCTCCGCTGATGACTGCAGGCCATGAACTTGGCTCATTCCTCCTAATAACATAACTAAAATTCCACACTGGGTGCGTGGCTCATTTCAGCTGCAGAGCACCATCCCTCTAGGTCCTTTAATAGGAATTGCAGTATAACACTGAGCAGATAATATTCTTCATGTCACAGTAGCCCAGAAGAAACCAAAGCTCCTTTGTGCTAAGTATCACACAAATACGCAGTGAGGATTGCAGAGCAGCTCTTGCCAGTAAAGTGCTACAGTCAGCATACCTCATGAACCTCTCTATTACCGTCCTAAATTAAAACCTCCGGCCCTGACTGTCCCCAGCTCGGACTCCACTCCGAAGCCAGCGCCTCGTACCCGTATGAATTTGTATTTAGCAATTACTGTAGCAGAGGAGGAGTGTGGGATGAGGAAACGTGTCGTAGCCAGGAAGTTACTGTGTGGCTGGAGGCAGGGAATGGAGAGTTCAGAGGGAAGTGGGCTGCGGGGAATTTCCTCCGTTTACCACTTGACATTTAAGTCACTGTGCAGAGCTCAGGCTGTGTTCAGTTTTTTTAACCCTCCTATCTGGAGATGGGGGCTCAGCTGAGCTGATGTCGGGATGCAGAGCAAGTTCTGAGCCACTCAGGGATGTCTGGATCTAATTTAGGTTTATTATTTTAATGACATTACTGCTTATTTCATTTAACACTGAGTAGGTGAACGTGACCAGAGAACTGGGAAGAATGTATACTAGTAGGAGGGTAAAACCAGGCAGAAGAAATCCTGCTGACATTACTGAGCCCTTTGAAGGTACCAGGCTTCTGCTGCCTGGCATTGCAATGTCACTGCAAAAGGATAAGGATGGAAATAAAACCCCAGCCAACAAATGATGGAGAAGGGTGAGTCAGGAATAGACATGTCTTGGAAATGGGTGATCTCACCCTGGCCTTTGGTGGGCGGCTGCCCACATCACAGCACTGCCACATGGCCGGTGCGGTTACTAGCTCCAACGTGAGTTTGCTGGGGTCAGGGTGGAGGTGGCTTGGCAGTGCTCTGACGGGAAACCAGCACAAGTCTCCTGCAACGTTCCTCGTGCTTGGAGAGCAGCTCTGCACCCAACAGAGGCAGTGGCTCTGTGTCACCCTCCTTGTCCACACCATCCTTCCTGCCTCTTGGATGGGGAACTTCCCTCTGATCCCATGCAAGCAGTCCTCCGCTTCCTAAGAGCAGCCGTGCGCTGTGACGGAGCTAGGGGACAAGAAGGACGTGGCAGGTTAGACAGCTGTGACTGTGCCATGACATTGTCTAGGCTTTCAGCTGTCCCTCTCCTTCCTGGGGAGGCTTTGGGGATTACGCCCTGGCCAGGGAGTGAAGCCAGCACGGATGGAGATGTGCAGGACCCTGCCGCCCAGGGACACTGGCTATCTTTGCAAGCTATGGCTCCTTCATCGCAGAGACACAAACTTCTCAAGTTACCCTCTGTGGGGAAGGCAGGGAGAGAGCAGCCAAAGAAGAAAAAAAACCTATGTATGAGGCAAAGGAAAAGCTTCTAAGTTCATGGAATGCCAGCATGGGGCTTCTGTCGGTGGTTCACCCTTGGCAAGTGGCTAGCCCCTCTCTGTGCGCCTGTCTGGGTCACAAAGAGATCCTTTATATCCACCCTGCACAACTGAGATGATAGATAACGACCCAAGGGGCTGCCGCAGCCCTGCAGGTCCCTCCGACCTCCTGGGACCCAGAGGAGGCTCAGCATAAGCCAGCGCCAAGGTCACTTCCAGAGCCCTGCCCCTACAAGCAGGGCTCAGGCACATGTTCTAGACAAGCTCCTAGTCAATTTGGTCTCTGGTATCCTGAGGAAGTTAAAGCAAATTGTTTTACGTTGCAATAAGACACAAAGGTTGAGTTCAGCTCAGCGGGCTTGCCTCCTACCGGAGCGCATCTCCGAGGTTCTCCCACCACCCTGCGGTCGCTCTCCACCCACCACCCTGCGGTTGCTCTACAGAGAGGTGAGCAGGGAATGGCGAGTTCCCTTCAGGCCTCCTTTCTCTTTTCTTCTACAGATGGGAGGGCTTGTTTTCTAAATTGCTCTTCTACTTGCTGTAAGGGACAATCAATAAGTCACTTAAAATCCTGGTACAGAAAAACCTACATTCACGATTTAATTCAGAAAAATTTCCATTAGCTATTCAGGGGCAGACACTTAAACAAGTATGTGCCTTTAAGTGTCTCACTTGTTTGGCCATTCAGAAGAAAATTACTGAATATCTTTACATATTAATGCATGTGCATAACCAAAGAATCATAAAAACAGTTAGGTTGGGAAAAAAGGAACTTTTCCACAAGGAATTGTCATTGTTTGTTGAAAACAACAACAGCAAGACTTCAGCTTTTCAAGGGCTTCTTGGCAAACTTACAGTTTCTCAGATGAAGAGTTGTGAAAAAGAGAGACACAACCCACAGAAATTTTTATTCAGCTGAAAGTAAAGTTTCCAACAAGAAAAGACCTCTTCACAGTAATGGCTTTGACCCTCCATGCACTACAAAATGTCTAGACTGCCTGAAATAATACATTCCTTCTCCATCTGAGGATCTCAAAGCATTTTAATAACTTATACTTGGGTATAAATTGCTATCCCTTTACCAATGGAGAAACGGAGATAGTAGAGGAAGCCAAATATTGAGTGAATCCCCTGGTCTCTAGTAAACTCTTTGCCTAGTAGTTTCTTTTCTTCGTCAAACAGTACACATTTTAAAATACCCTAACCACTATCTGCACTGTTTAGGAAAGAAACCAACCCAACAACACACAATTCAAAAAGCCTGATGCTCTTTAATCCATGGAGTGAGGATATTGATCTGTTTATCCTCTCTGCATAGGACTGCCTGTTTTTCAGATGTCCTCTGTAGTTCTGCAGCCTTAATTTTTATTCTGGCGAGAATATGCACATCCCCCCAAAAGACCATTACAAAATAACCTGCCTGTTTAGCTCTGTGCGGGTCTGCACACAACAGGCCTATCACAGATTTCTGAACAGCTTCCTCAGTGTTTGAACACCACAGAGCTGTATGTATGTGTGCAGGTACATCTTTTCCTGACATTTGGGTATGTAACATGTACATCATACAGACATCTTTCTTGCTTGACCGAGTCTTAGTTTACATGAGGGTGCAGGTGTAGGGTTTGGTAGAGGGAGCCTCAGCCAATAAGAAGAAATACACCTAACTTCATAGCACATCAGCTGAGTGAAACCTGAAGCACAGTAAGGTACACGGACTTTCACCCACCATCTGTTCCATGCAACACAATAGCTATTTGCAATTTGCCTTCAGGAGGTAGCTACACTTGAAAACAAACCAACCAAAAGCCTGACTAACAGATGCAATATGGGGAACATGCGTCTAAGCTGGGCAGAAGCACATTCCAGGAGATTGCTATTGATGATGCTAAAACACAGCATCTGTGCTAGGCTCAGGCACAACTTTGCAGTGACACAGTTGTACATTATTGCCTGCATCTTCATTGGCCTTCTCCTCACCTCTTATTTTGCACACGCAGACTTCAGCTAATAAGCCAGCCTTGTGCATAAACAAGTGCGACAAGCATGCCTGCATACGAAACAACTCTAAAGGCAGTATTAACACCTCTTCATGAAGGGTTCGACTACGCAAGGGACTGATAAAAGGACAACATGTCCAAGTGTCTAGCTCAGTTCCTGGAAATCTGATGGGCTCAGTCCAATTGTAATACTCAGCCTGTAAACCTGCCCTTGCACATGGAGGCTGACCACCCATTTAACCCCATTAGGTCTGGCTTAGGATGCATGCAGAAGGGAGCTTGTATTTCTGTTGCCCAGTGCTTTCTCTCCTTTCTTTTTCTAGGGCTGCTAACCTCCAATTCAGCAAGCACTGAACAATACCATTTAAAAATGTTTCAGCCTGACGGCACTCCGGGGAGCTGCACCTGTCTCCAGCGTCCCAAAGAGCAATAAAGGTATGTGAAGAAGAAGGTCCAGTGATAAAAATGGCAGTCTGACATCCAGAAGTAAAGCCACCATGGCAGACTGCACCACAGACTCTCCTTTGACATTGGGCAAGTCACTTCTCTCAAAGCCTTAGTTCCCCAATTGTAAAGTAGACAGCAACGCTGCCCCAACCAGCATGCTACTGAAAGATAAATACAGTAATAAACATGAACTGCTTCACTTCTGTGGTAACGGGACCCCTCCTGAGTACAGAAAATTGCCATTTCCTTCAGTTTTCCTGCAGTAAGCCTACACAATCACATGCTATCCTATTGTGCTACCAGATAATTTTGTAGCAATTTCCTCTCCTAACATATTTGACTTCACTGTAAGCCAGTTTAATAGCCTATAGATATTAACATGATCCCTTATTTACAATAATGGGACCTTGTAGCTATGCAAGCTTAGAGACGCAATTTATTACAGGATGTTACCACAATCCGCAGGCTACGAGAAAACATTATGCCTGGTTGTTACAAATGCCATTTTCCTTGTTGAGATAATAAAATAACCCTTTAAGTACTTGGGATTGTTCCTTCTTCTGAATGTCTGTGAAGATTAATCTTACTTTAAAAGCTGCCTTTCCCCTTGTGGTAATGAGAACCTCCATACATCTTGTTTTTAAAGGCATGCCCTTAAAAAAGCCTGTGTCCTGTTTACAGATTTGAATCTGTGAGCTTGTGGAGCTTCAGCTGGTCAACAGGTGTCCAGGGCACTTGAAAGTAATCTGCAGAGAGTCAACGGTTTGCAAGAGAAGGCTGTTATCTCTCTGCTCTGGAAACCCCCCACCACTTTGCCTGTTTTCCAAGCTACCATCATCACCTGACTCTGACTTCTCATTTCATTATTCTTGCACTCCTCATGACATTTCAGAACCAAGAACTAGCTCCTCTGGAAAGGCTTGGGATTTGGGGAGAGCAGGCTCAGTGTATGGGAGGAGGCAATACTGTTTAACCTACATTGCTTATAACAAATCTTCCATATTAGGCAATGCAATGTTTTTTTAAAAAAGAGAACCAAACTCATTTGTCAGTCCTGTTGTTCCTGAAACCATCGCAGCAATGCAACTGCTGAAATATTTCCCCATTCTTGTTCCCTTGACACATAGCACAGAAATTTTACATGATTTTGCTTTTGTATCATCCTGATGCCCACGAACGACCCAGATTCCCTTGTGTTAGACACCACACAGGCCCACAGTCCCTGTGCAGCCAGATAGTGAGAAACGCTGCCTCATCCTGACGCTTCTCCGAACGTACGCACATCCTTCAACCCAGAAGTTCCTTCTGGTTGTGTACCGGCAAGGCTTAGGCCTATCTGCCCCTATCTCAAATCCTTCTTGGCTGCAGCCTATGTGGTTTGCAATGTAATTTCTTGCTTCAAGGGCCTCTGGGACTGACTCCGCTCTTGCAGAAGCTGCATTTAACCCCAGGACTGAGAGCTGGCCTCCAGAATTACTCACCTTTGCAAACAGTCTCGCTGTAGCCACGCAGGACTGGCCCTGCGCTTTTCATTCTTCTTGCATGAAGACGCAAGACAGATTTGGCTTGGCTCTTATTTCTCATTTGACTGAAAACAGCTCTAAACGAGGCCGTGAACTTAAGGCATGCAATTTATCCAGGGAAGTCAAGGACAAGGCTCCCAGGGGTCCTTCGCTCAGTACTGGCTTGCTCAAGCGAGGGGAAGAGACAAGCCAAATCCAAACTCTGTCCCTGTTTAAGGAGGACAGCAAGCACTCACAATCCCACCCTGCGCCCATCAATGGGTAAATGAAACCCTGAAAAGTCTGGCTAGCAGCAGTTTGAGCTACTTGAGGGGTGCCAAACAGCTGCAAGGTTGTCCGTCCTACACTCCAACAGCAGGTGGGCAGTCAGTCTGCTACAATGCAGTTTTATCCTTTAAACGCCAATAGCTAATAGCACATATCCTGCTTCCTCCCAAAGTTTTACTCTGCTTGCTTTCTCACAGGATGCCCTGCCCCCATATTTTTTTTTTTTTTGGCAATGGCACTGTCAAAATATTTACTGGCAAAAATATTAATGATGTATAATATACTCTAAAAGGCAGCAGCTGTCTCCTCTTCATACCATTTAACCTTCCTGGAGATATCTGGAGAAGCCCACTTGAAAGGAATGGGCTGGAGGGAAGAGTGAAAAACCCAGGAATGTGTGTTGCCAAGGCCTGATCCTGCTTCCTTTTCGAGGACACGATAGCTGTGACCATACCTCATCTTCGTACACCACTAGCTGTGTTTTGTGCAGCTGAATGTAACGATCCTTCCACAATCCCAGGAGTCCCCCACTGCTTTTCTTAATCCAGCCAAATTTCTCTGCGGTTGGAGTGGATTTTGGGTTCTCTGCAACGTCCTCCTTTGTATCCTGCAAGGACACCAGGAAAAGCAGAAGGGAGAAGGAATTCTGTTAAAAGCACTTTCCATCCAGTTAGTGAAGATCTTCAGAAAGCCTCCCCAGGAAGAACTCAGCACCTACCATGCGCGGTCCCTCCCCATGCTTACCAGATCACCAGGGGAAAAATGTGGGACCAGACTGCCATTTTCCAGGGAAAACTTCTGCAAGGGAGAGGAGAACTCAGCTGGGTCCCTCCCGAGAGCCAGAGCCAGACCTTTGGGACAAGACTGGGGAACGGACATGGAGCCTGGCTGACCCGGGGGGACTTAGGATGGCAGCAAGTCCACCCTGCTTCTTTGCTCCCTGCGGGTCTCTGCTCCTCTCTCCGTAAAGGTACTCTAGAGGCTCCTGGAAGACCACCAGCCTCCTCTCAGCTTTGCTCCCCAAGCGCTCTGACAAACCCTGAATCTCTGAGGGGAAGGATCTTGCTTCCATTGGAGTCAGTGGCACCACTCGTATTTTGGCCCACGATCACTTGGGCAAGTTCCTATAGGTCTCATTTTGCACCCAGAGCTTGGCCGCTCCTGCCCTGCACGCACACAAGCACTGCAGCCTGCGCTGTCCACACACACACACAACTGCTTTGCTCTTCGCCTGTCTTCGGTTACAATGGCACTGCGAGACTCTCACAACCGACACAGGTTTGCCCCAAACCCATTGCTCTGGGCAGCTGTACAGCCTCAGGGCCAGGAGTTTATCACGGTAGCACTAACATGTTCTGGCCCTGCCTGTGGTCCTGCACACAGGCTCCTCTGTGGCTCTATGCAGCGGAAAGCACTGCCAGAGAAGGTGGCACCAACACTGCTTTTTGTCCAAGGTATTTTACAGCCATCGCCAGCCAAGACCCCCTTCCCTCCCTCAGCTGCCGTGAACCTCTCTCTTGCCTCCCTTTTCCCTTCCCCAGTCCTTGACCACAGTCTGAGTGGATTCTCCTGCTGGAGTCAGTGCCAGGCCCGGGCTGGCTCACCACGGCCCAAGAAGCCACCTATCTCCTTGGCTTTGTGGTGTCCCTGCTCTGGAGCGCGTCGTGCCTCCTCTTTGCAGCTATTCCCCATGCACAGGACACGGACTGCAAGGAGCAAAAGCACTGCCCCAGCACTGGCTGCATGGCCTTACTCTGCTTCGGCTGAAGAGATGCCGATGACCGTTCACATTTTCTAGCCTTTGCGCTGCTCTTGTCTATGCACTGGGTTTAGTTCCTCGCTTTGTGACGTGCTGCTGGGCAAGGAGCCAGAAACTGCTGGCTGTGAGCACAGAGGTGCAGTGGTACTGACTGCTCAGGCCCAGCAGCTCTAGCGCAGAGTACGGTGGGTTTTGTTTTCCTTTCCCGCAAACCACCTGCAAGGAGCATGGGGAGACCTGAATGTCCCCAGCGCTCTGCATTTTGAGCCTGCTGGCTTTCCAGGCCTGATTAAAATGGGAGAGTATGACCTTCCTGCTTTAAAAAATAATCAGAACTATCCAGTGTCAATAGTCTCTTCAAATGGACAAAGGAAACCTGAGACGGGGTGGGGGGGCGAGCACAGCCCTGTTAGCTGACTGACTTCACCAGCAGGCTCAGTGAAATGCGAAAGGTTTCCTCCCCTCCGGTGCGCTGGAAGAAGTCTTTGCAAAAGCGGGCTCCCGCGTTCGCCTCCCTCAGAGTGCCCCGCTGCTTGCAGCGCCCCGCTGCTGGCGCGCTGGCCCCATGTAAGCCCCTTCCCAGGGGAATCCCTCGCTGCCTCCAGCTCAGCCAAATCCCCTTACAAAACCGCCTCGCCAAACTTGTGACTCTTAAGAGGGGGCCGACCCCAAATCCTCCAGCGCCTTGCAGGGAGCCGCACCGTTATCCCGGGCTTGGTTTCTTCCACGTCCCCTTGGGACATGCCACTTCTGTTTGTCTGTAATAGCAGGTGAGCGTTATCACCAGACGAGGACGCACGACAAAGGTGGGACCCAGCCATCCCCAGACGGTCCTTGCTAGCTGCTGGATGCAACCTTTCCTCGCAGGAAAAAAACAGACTGAACCAGAGCGGCTGTGGCTCACACCACGTTTCATAACATGAGGAAATCCAATGTGCAGCAGAGTCGACGCTGGACACTCCCATGGCCAGAAGGGAGCAGGGATGGAGCGAGTGCGTACAGACGAGTGCCAGAAACTCAGCACCAGCCCTCTGGCAGGGAAAGCCTCGCTAGCACATTTGTTTTCATGCACAGGACTCCCATCGAACACGCCCTTGGACAGCAGCTGCCGTTTGGGTGAGCTGTTGCTCTGACGGGGGAATTTGCACCAACGTATAGAGGAAAACAGGTTAAATGCACTGGATATTCCATTCTCCAGGAAGGTTTTGAAAGGCTTGACTTTTGCAGGGAGCAACAGGTGCAGACTGAGAAAAAGAAATGCAAACAAATTGCATATCAGCTAGCGTAAATCATATGGAAATCTGCTTGGTGCACTTTATAGAAGTTGCTTCAGTTGTACTCAGTGGGTTTGAAAAGACCACAATACAGGATGACAAAACATGAACAAGTTTTCCGGGAAATGAAAGGTACTGTATTTTTCTAAACATAACTTTTTAGGTTGCCAGGAAGTTGAATTCAGTTGTCATCTGCTACTTCAGCAAACATCAATTGCTGCACAAATATAGACCTGTTGATTTCCTGATTGAGCACCCTTTTGATGTCATTTTTAGATAATTGGGCACTGACTTCAATCTCATTCTGAGCAGTTTTGCATGGCTGTAGCTGTGCAAAGAGTTTAGTGACTCTAGACCAACAGCTGCCAAGCACTCTGTTATTCCCAAATGCTTTTACTGCTTAGGGGTTTTTTTTTTTTTTGCTTTGTAGATGAATTTTTACTGTTTTTTCCCCACCTAGCAGATGGCAGAAAGGCTACGAGAAAACACGTGGCGAATGTCTATCTGTGACCTGTTACTTTGCCCTGCAGAGTGAAAACTACCTCGTCTTTGGTGGTTTTAAAATAAAAGTACTCACTGCAAAGAGGCAGCCCGTTCACTTCTCAAAAACCGACCTGCCCTGCCGACCGTTTGAGTTTATTTTCACGCCTGCACTTCTGCTGGGCGAGACGGAGCCGCGCAGTTACACGAGGGCTCGTCGCACAGCCCGTGCTCCCACCAGGCTCCCGCTGCCTTCGCCCGCTCGCTCGAACGTTTCAGGCTTGGAGACAGCAGCTCTTCTCCGAAACGTTGCAGGACTTCCTGCTCTGGGTTAAACGGCCTCTGCCTGTACTAGGAGCCAGCACGCAGGGAAGAAACCAGGCCCAGTTCCCCCTCCAGCATCTTGGGGCTTTGCGGGAGCATCCGCAGAGGGGCTGAGCGGGAATCCTAAGACCCCATCTTCCCCCGCCGAGCGGCCTTGGGGAGCCGAGGCACACAGCTCTTCCCCCTTCGAGAGAGACTGCCCATGCCAAACATTGGCAGGAAAAGGATGTAAAACCTGCCGCTGCGTTGCTGTCGCTGCTACATCCGCGCAGGCATGACGCTGCAGGGACGGGGACACTCGCACACTGCCACCCCAGGCCTTTCCGCCCGGCGCCGTCGTTCCCTGCCGCACCGCGAGCTCTTTGCGGCCTCCCGGACGAGGGAAGAGCAGATGAGCTGGAGACTGCTGGTCTCAGCAGACAAGACCAGCCCTGAGCAAAGCGCTCTGCCCCCCGCATTGCGCAGGAGTCACCTGAGCCTGGAGTCTGCTGGTCCCTGCTACAAGATAAATTTACAGGGCTCAACGCTGCACTCGCCGGGTGCCAGGGCACTGTCAAACTGCCTGAGCTGGGCTTGTGCATTAGCCGCTTCCATCGCGCACGCGCAGAGGACACCGCGAGACATGGCCGCAGCTGCTGTAATCTCTTGCCTACGGGTTAAGGGCATTAAAAAGAAATTGTGATGCAACATGAGTGTTTGTTCCCGCAAAAGCAAGAAGAGTCTTAGAAAACACGTCTGACGTTTTAGTGGATTATCTTTATGGCCTGCTCATGGCATCCCCGCGATGGCACTACAATATATTGGCGAGGGAGGTTGGCCAGAGAAGGGCACCGGGAGATCAGGGCTTGGTGTCCGCTCCGTGCTCGCGGCCTCTGATTCCACGCCTAAAATTGGAGCACGGCACAAAGA